TCTGGTTGTGAGGGTCTGCAACATTTTCCACTGATAAAAATGTTTATATCTACTGCTCAAATACTAAGAATTTTGAATCATGTCTCTAAACATAAATTTTATATAAGTATATTGTTGACATTTTACTCTGGGGGACAATTTAAATTTAACAAACATTTTCTTTCTTCAGTTTCTTTAAAAATTATCGTATTTTAAATATTTTCTTCTCTTGCGCTCACTATATATACTACATATCCACAATCATATACATTTCTTATTTACATAAAACACACAATAACAAAATTATATCGATGCATCAAGAAGGAACACAGTTTTATACTAATTAGGAAAATATGATTCCTGTGTCACTTAATTATCTGACCAATTTCTATTGATCACAGGATTTGTTAAAATCGAAAAGATCTCTGAATGTGCTGATCTTTCTCTGACCCTTCCCTACTTCTTGGAGTTCATTTGGGATTAGAAGTAATAACCCAAACGATAAGAAAATCATACCAACAGAGAGTTGTGCCATTGTCTTCTGGAAAGACGACTACATGTGCTTACAGGCAAAAGTCTAGTTTGAAGGGGAAATGTGCCTTGTTTCTCTACAAATTAGCCTGCCCGTTTCCTTCATCAATACGTGTCCTAACATGTGGAAGCCTTTTCCACATGGTGCATCACTCTGCTCTGGGGGCTCTTTGAAAGTGAGCCTTTCAAGTTCATGCCCTACAGATCCCTGAAGTGTCTGGGAACTTACCCTTTGCTTTTGGTTTGAAAATGGAACGCTTTGGGGCTGCACAGCATTGCTGAGCAATTCATTACAGGACAAAGACATGTCTGGGGTTAGGCAGGCAAGCAGCTAATGGTCCTTCATTTTGTCCAGGAAGCATCAAGATCGATATGTGGGACTTGCAACATTTATGGAACACCTGTTTTCGTTTCCCTCCAGGGAAGGGAAAACACATTGGATGGTCTCTTCCTGAGGATGGCTACAATGACTGAGGCTGCTTAGTACACATCTTTGTCATCTTCTTCCCAGCTGCTAGTAGCAACACAGCCACCTGATCTTTGTTAATTTTCTAATATATGTATTATATATGTGTATATGTGTGTGTATGTATATCCACACACAGACACACGTGTGTATGTATATATATTATACACACATACATACATACATACATACATACATCAGAATTCAAATAACTTTATTTTTGACAGGTACAATATATTTAGCTTCATTGATTGAAATAACCACAATCTTGGGATAACATTATAAATCAAAATGAACAGAGCTAGTTCTGAGATGCACTAATAGGCATTAATGATCCATGATGCACTCATTAAAATTAGATCTTTTATGAACAAACAGGAGAAGGCCAGAGGAAGAAAATATAAGTCAAAAGAAGCATCTACACAGGTTGCTTTCAACTCACATAATCTGTCAGCAATGAAAACTAAATATCATCACGAACTCTGTTTAATGAATAAATTGTTCCTAGAATAATGCAAATCAAAATGGAGACAGAAACATAAATGTAGTCCATGTTACATGTCCTTGCAAATATCCTTAAATATGATGTTTTTATAATTTGAAAATCAGAGCAATGTCAACATTTTGGGTTAAAGCTCTTTTTTCCTGGTTCTTTTTACAGAAATGACACCATAGAGGATTGGCAAACTAGATAATCTTCCGAGGGGAAAAAATTAACTTTGCATCTTCTTTAAGAGGAATCATTGTCAAAAGTGACAGGAGCCAAAATGGCAATATATTTGCTCAATGACATGTGCACATTTTCCCAAGTCATACCTAAATGGAGCAGTTAAAAATTCGAATTTGGCGCAATTGTTCTCTATTTGTTTAAAGGAAGGTTAAAAGCAAGGCTCTAATTTGAGAAGATAACTGATTTAGCATGCAATCTTTTAAACAGCTTTGATAGGGCCTGAGAACCTCAGGTCATTGTTGTATCACTGTGGGTCCCTCAATCACACAGCCTTTAAGTATTACATTGAAACCATCAATGTGAGTTCTATAAAGCCACAAACTTCTGAACTCAAAAAGATGTCAAATATTGAGAATATGGAAGCATGGGTTTTTAAAATAAATTTTGAATTCTATTTTAGTTGCTGGTAGGTCGGATCAATGGTAATTGGTTTTAATTAAGAGACCCAGGAGCCACAATAGTAGTGAAAAAGTTAGGAAATCAGTCAGTCCTTTGGAAAAGATCAAAGCAATGGCTTCCAAGCTGATATGAGAGCTCACAGTGACACTACACTCAATTTTCAAACTGGAATAGATAATTGGATTAAGTTGGGAGTTACTGCATGTGAGTTTTCAACCTTCTACAACAGGTAAGCAATGAGGACAAATAAAGGCAAACCGCCACACCTCAATTTGGTTATACCTGTCTTACTAAATGTACCCAATGAGGGCATTTTACTACTGTGTCTTCCAAAATATACACATCTTGCATGATGTCCTGTTTTATTAACACTAAATTTAAATAGCAAAGATTAAATACCTCTGTTAGCCTTTGTTAAACTCTGAATTCCAATGCATGAATAAGCAAATCCAAATACCAATTATGATAAATATTGTATATTTCATTCTATTAAAGATGAATGCAAGTATCAAAAGCATAAAGTTATGTCTCTAAGAGTTTTATAACCAAGAACAATTATTTTGCCTCCCATGTTCCCATGAGATAAAAGTGAGAAACTCATAACTAAGTTCTTGCTATTCACAATGTTTCCATTGGGTGTAGCTATGATATTAGATAGGCTGATATCAGAGCTTGCATATTCAGGAAGAATGCCCAGACATTTGGGGATTTTTAGTGACTCTCTTTGTCTTTAGCATTCAGTTGAAATAGTCAGCTTTACATTTTATGGGGAATTCAAATCAAACAGTTTCAAATCAATGAAGTCAATTAAGTATTTCAGTGTCTTTTTCTGAAAAGGAAGAAATCTAAAACAAAACAAAACACACACACACACACACACACACACACACACACACAAAAAAAAAAAAACACCTGACAGCTGTATCAAAATTTAAATCAACACTATTTCTATCTACTTTGTTCATTCTTAATTTTTTTAGATAGCCATATAATTCACATCTTCTATATAGATAGGCCTCTGTTGGGTAAAATGGGACAAATACAGGAAAAATCCTCTAAGAGTACAACCCTTTTCTTCAATGATGGGTCTGAGCAGAGTGTCTTAAAGTGCTTTTTTATGCTAAAATAAAAAATAAATAAAAAGCATGTCTCCTAAAATACAAGGGCAGCTTACACACTGAGATGTAAATTGCTAACTCTTTTCTTAACAACACCATATGTCTCAGATAGGTTCCAAATGCAGTCAGTCCTCAAGGGAGCATTATGCATGGGAGCTAACCAGACCGAGGCCCAGGCTTCGCTGTGTGCTGACTCTCTGATTAACCAGAGATGCCACTTTGGATTTTGCAGATCACCCAAGTGTCAGTCTGAAGGGCTCTTCTCCTTTCCCGACATCTCCCCAAACCAACCAATTCACAAAGAACCCTGACCCCATTTCAAAAGAAATATTTATTTTTGTTCAAACTTCCTCTTGAATAAACCTAAAAATATTTGAAGGAATTAAAATGTCCAACTCCTTGCCCTACCAGTTTTGCTCAATGGATAGAGCCTGCAGACTGAAGGGTCTCAGGTTTACTTCCGGTCAAGGGCATGTACTTTGGTTGCAGGCACATCCCCAGTAGGGGGTGTTCAGGAGGCAGCTGGTCGATGTTTCTCTCTCATCAATATTTCTAACTCTCTATCCCTCTCCCTTCCTCTCTGTAAAAAAAAAAAAAATCAATAAAATATATTTTAAAAAATAAATAAAGTTCCACCCCTGAACTCTCTAACCATGGGTTTGAAGTAATGCACAGATTGCAAACACTACAGAAATCCAGCTTAGAGAGATAAAAAAAAAAGGAGACATCTGTAATACTTTCAACAATAAATATATTTTTAGAAAGACCAAAAGGAAAATTATTGTAAGGCCAAAGAAGTTACATTATTCCAGAGAATCACCAAAAACAAAAGAGCAACAAATAAAACCAACATGCATTAGTAAGATATTTCTTTATTTATTCACTGGTTTTTAGAACCTCTGTCAAGTTTTAATGTTTTCATATGTGAGATATATATTTTTAAATGTACTCACCTAATATTAAATACCTTCTATATATAAATGCTACTACCAGGTTAATATCAACATAAGACTGGCATTTCAGTTTAAGCTCTGACATGTGATAGATTCAACCTTTGTATATATGTTGAGTGTAATTCTTTTTTTTTAAATGTAATTCTTAATAGCATAAAGTTATATCATTTCAGTATATATGGACTTAAGAATTTTGCTTTGGGAAATGAGAAATGCCCTGGGACATTCTAGGTTGGTGCTCCTCCATCTCTCTCTCTGATGAATGGACAGCTTTAAGAAATTTTTCAATATGTCAGTAATTGATATTTTTTTGTAAAATGTGAACTATGCATCCAGATTTTATGACAATGCCCAATTGCTGTGAAAGTTTCTAAATGCTTATGCTCACTTTCTGTACTCTTCTTGTCATTGTCAGGGAAGATATGTTTGAACACTGGAATCAACCTGCGGCCTCTGTTGTGCATATATCACTGTTCAAATATTTATAAACTAGAAATAAAGATAATGTATCAATATGAATGACAAGAGTCAGAAACTTCCTTCACTTGGAATGCATCTTTAACTACTTTTTGCTATATTTTTCTTTAATTCGCTTTAGGGAATGAGCAGCAGAGATTCAAAAGAAAGGCAACTGAAGAATCAGCAAAAAGTGTGTGGTAGATTTAAGAAAAATGAGTTGCTACATGGTATTAAAAACTATACATTTATGAATGGATCTTTTTCCATCCTAGTGACCCACTAAAGGCCTTAGCATGGACTCATTCTAATCATAACAATAAGCCCAGACACTACTGAATCATTACTTAATGATATGTGGGTCTTACCTGGGATGCCAGGTGGTGTTTTCAGATATTTTCCATTAAAATGTTGAATTACCACTTCACATTTTTCAGTAGACTCCATTCTGGAAAAAGAAAGAAAGGGAGATCATATACTTTTCACAAACTTTGCATAATAAAGAAAATAAATAAAAACAAAAAGGAAAACTTTAAAGCTCAACTTGTTTTACCAGAATTTACCAGCTGTTACCATGACCACCATGACCAAGGTCTACAGGACATTACCAACACATAATTGCTGAGAGGGTATTGCTTATGCAAATGACTCTGTACTGAGTCCTCAACCAGAGGCAGTACTAAGGCATGATCTTATGTAATCTATACAACAATGTTTGGCCAATAAATGTGCTCTTGCCTGGCTGGTATAGCTCAGTGGTTGAGCATGGACCTTATGCACCAGGTGGTCATGGGTTGTGGCTTAATCCCCGGCAGGGGACATGCAGGAAGCAGCTGATTGATGATGTTTCTCTCTCCCTGATGTTTCTATCAATCTCTCCCTTTCTCTTTAAAATCAATGAACCATATTTTATAAATGTATTTTTTATTGTTGACAGTATTATAGATATCTCCCATTTTCTCTCCTTCCCCTCCTCCTCCCAACACATAACCTCCCTTCCCCCCCACCCCGCTACCCCTGTCTTAACTACCTTATTGCCCAAGTCCATGAGCTATGTATATAAGTATATAAATTCTTTGGCTTATCTCTTCTCATTAAAAATATTTTTAAAGAAGTGCTCCATAAATACCTGTTAAATGTCTAAATTAGCAAACTTCATTATGGCTTTTCATATCAGGGAGGGTGCTGGGGCTTAGAGAGGTGAAACACTTGCCAATAAGTTTAATTGAGACCCATCAGACATCAAAGCCATTCTATAACTACTGAGTTATCCTGCTGAGGGGCTTCACAAAGCAAATTGGTGAGATGTGCTTCATTTCAACCTCTTCCAGCCTAAATAATAGTTAATAGAGTAGTGTCATCATCAGTTTCATGACACTTTCATTGGTAACCCACTGGGTGAAAGATATAAGAGAGAATTACTTGGTATCTGTAACATGAGAGGAAAATGTAAATATATCAACCTCAGGTGCTGAGCTTTCTTCATTTTAAACAGCCCTTGATTTTTTTGTACTAGATATCAATGTTCCTAAACTGGATTTCTCGTGCCAAATTTTGTCATCTCACATAGAAGCTAATGAATGAACATTTTGAGCTATACCATCATCATTTTAATATTGGCAGTATCACCATATCCTGAGTAGTATTGGCAACAATTTTAGTAATGAAGTATATCTGGGCTTTATTACTTTATAAAATTGGATGGAAAAAGATAAAAAATAAAGGGTTTACTCTGATTAAAGGAAATTAAGTCCCACCAACAACACACGGGAGACAAAAAAATAAATTTAAGAAACAGAACACATCCATATGAAAGGATGTATATGAAATGTGTGAAATTTGTCTAAAAGGCAGAGTATAATTTAAATGTTCTGCTCTGTTATGACTATGAGCTTTCTGGGAATGGAGCCCCTTGACACAAGCTCTAAAACTTTTCTACCTCTAAATCTTACATGTGTTTCCAGGATCATATTATCTGACCATATTAAATGCAGATGATAAAAGACAAGGAAAAAGGTGTAAGCAAATGACAAAGAAGGTATACATTTATTACAGCTATAGGAACTAAAATATGAGAGGAATTCCGGAAGCCAGGGAAATGCCGAGAAAAGGGGGGAAGAGAGGCCAGAAGGGCCCGTGAGAAAGTAATTGGACAGGGGCCTGAGCGGGGCAGGCGAGAGGGCCTGTGCCTTTTAGATGGGGTAGAGTGAGCACATAACTGTGGCTGGAGTGGAAGATTTACCTGGAGAAACTCTTGGAGAAAAGCTGAGAGATGCAAACAAGGCCATCTGAATGATCAGATTAAAAATTTGGAGTTGGTATCAGGAGCATGTTCCATTCAGGACATTAAAGTTTTTTGTACTAAATTGGAAAAAAAAAAATCTTTTCTGATGTACATTCATTCCTACGAGGCAGGGGATGGACATATTTTTCTGTATTGATACACATAATGAATCTCTTTCTACCAATCAGATTGGCTTTATGGGCACGAGACCTGTGCAGAACCACAGAGCCACACACTTAGACTAAGCCTGCACTTGGTTTAAACATCTTGTTGTCAACATCGTAAAATCCTTAATAATTTTCAAAAAAGGTTCTTGCATTTTTATATTTTACCAGGTCCCCAAAATTACAAAGCTGGTCCTGCTATGATAAGAAAATGCAGAAAACTAATGTGACATGAATAGGCTAGTATTCATTCATCAGATGGTCCAATGATCAACATAGGTGTTATTTTGATAAACAAGAATGAACCGATTTTATATCCAAATGAAACAAAAAAGAAACTCTTTAATCTTAATAACTTGCAACTTGAAAAGTTAAAACTATAAAGATAGCATTTTGTTAATTGCTTACTCACAATTTCCCCCAAATCAGAAGACATTTGGATTAGAAACACAAGGTGAAACCTTCCTCATTCCAAATATTCTGGAGTAGCTAAGTACAATTTTTCTAACTTCTGTAAATTTTTTTTCTGGTGAATCTTTTATAGTAAGTCTTCCAACTTTTTTTTTTTAAGTAGGAAAGTTCCATTTCTAGGAACAAAAGAATTCTAATTTTGTTCTTTCTCTCTTCCCACAGGATCCACTATCTATTGTCTCTGAGGGAAAATAACCTTCCCTCCTAGCAGAGACATGAATGGGGGAGAAAATGTAAGCCCTTAATGACTACAGATGTTACTTTATGGAATTTTTATTCCAGGAGAGCTACAGAATAAAAATCTTGTGCCCCAGAGTCCCCTTCCCTATTCAGGATGTCTCTGGGTACTCATCTCAATAAAAGGCAGTTAAGAATCTAAAAGCTTGCTTGCAAGAGTCCTACAAATCAAACCCTTTCTCTTTGTCTTAAAATGACATGGGATTCTGCCCTAACCGGTTTGGCTCAGTGGATAGAGCATCGGCCTGCAGATTCAAGGGTCCCAGGTTCAATTCTGGCTAAGGGCACATGCCTGGGTTGCGGACTTGATCCCCAGTGGGGAGCATACAGAAGGCAGCGGATCAGTGATTCTCTCTCATCACTGATGTTTCTATCTCCCTGTCCTCCCTTCCTCTCTGAAATCAATGAAAATATTTTTAAAAATAACGTCAGATTGCCATAACCAGTTTGGTTCAGTAGATAGAGCATTGGCTGCAGACTGAAAGGTTCCCAGGTTCGATTCCGGTCAAGGGCATGTACCTTGGTTGCAGGCACATCCCCATTAGGAGGTGTGCAGGAGGCAGCTGAATGATGTTTCTCTGTCATCGATGTTTCTAACTCTCTATCCCTCTCCCTTCCTCTCTGTAAAACATCAATACAATATATTTAAAAAAATGACATGGGATTCTAAATGAAAACTGAAACCTAATGGGGATCAATATGCGTGTGTGTGTGTGTGTGTGTGTGTGTGTGTGTGCGCACACACACACACACTTGTTGATTTTGTATCATGTATTTTAGGGAATCCAGAGATATCTAGAGAAGAACATCAAGTGGCCAACCCACTCAACTGACCTAAAATATTTCTGCCTGGTTTGAAAAGCTCAAGTCTTCCTTTTGAGATTCTGTATGTGATCATCTTTTCTTAAGACTGTTTTACAGCCACATCAAACCGGATGGGGGCTGTTTTCAGGAACACAAAGACAGCAGCCTAGATGGTTCATGTTAGCTTCATTCAGATTTAACTAAGTCAATGTCTACAGTGAGGCTTTAGAGACTCTTGTCTCTGAAAGAATAAATGCAATGAAAGTCTGTTTTCTATCGCTGCTGGCACTTAGTGTCAAACTGTGTTACGCTGCACCACCCAGCAGTGACAATTTCATTTTAACACACGGGGCACATTTTAACTAGGTGAAGTGGTCCCAGCAAAGACAGCAATATCAGAGCTGCCGAGGGGAAAGGCTCAGTGTGTCTCGTGCATTTTATGTGGGAGCAGAACAAAAGTGAGACCCAGGGAGCTGGGGCCAGGGGTCCTGGGGGGGGTAAGATATGTGTTTATGAGGAGTAGGGTAGAAGAGGCGGGGTGGACCTTGCATTTGAATAGCTACCCCTGAAGAATGTGCCCATTTTCTTCTCGAGTTTCACAATTAACCGCTTTGAAATGCCAGCTCAAGCTATCTGCAATCTGGCACACGCTTCATTTGAAACTGACACTAGCATTATCAAGTGAGTCTGAAAAGGCAGCATGCCAGACAAAGCTGCCTTTACATGTCCCTTTCAGATGGGCCACTGAATCACTACAACCCAATCTATTCTTCCTCGCAGGTACCTGACCCCCCTCGCGTCCCCCGGAGACGCTCGCATGCCAGGCCAGCCATTCACCCGATGATACATTAATTAGGTTCTTACAAGGCTCTAATCATTGTATAAAGCTTAAGGGTTTTCTGTAAGGTCTGGTGTTTAAATATAAACACACATTAAAGGCCCCGTTTGACATTCTTTCTTGTCTCAGTGCCTAGGAACCTGGCTTCCGTCATTCAAAATGCATCATAGAATTGTGATTTTTTTTTAAACTTTTTTTTTTTAACAGCTACGAAGAGGAGCTAATTTCACAGCCAATACAATTCCCACAGGCAGATGACATCAGAGGAGAGCCGGATCCAATATTAGGGAAATGTTCTGGATCAGACTTGACGCGCAGAGGAAAAGAAGTATACTGCAAAACCCATTTGCAGCCCACCTATCTCAAGCCCAAAAGAGGTCTTCTCAGTGTCTGATCTTAAACCAATAAGAGTGATAACCATGTATTTAAAACAAATCCTCTCTGTCATTTTATTATGCCTAATTAGAGGTTTTCACTGTTGCGAAGTTTTTGTGCTTTTGCAACCCCTGGCTCCTGTACAAATGATCGGCAACTTAGAAACATCCCACACCGCAAGCCAGTCATCCCTCCTTTCGGATAAGATTTATGCCAAGGGCCAACATTAAAAGCTTTTTAAAAGTACTCCAATGTGTGCTCCTTACATTTTGAAA